AATATAATAAAATCATTAATAAAAATATGTAATAATACAATTTTGACATGACATAATAATTATGGCACCATACTTTAAATATATGTCAACTTCTACTAAGCCCAAATTTAACTACACAATACTTTTTTTAATTAAACCAAAAAAAGATTTTTTAATCGCTCAAATTTAATCGTATAATGTATAATAATATGATACATAATAAAATTTTCTAAAAAAATTAGACTTTAAATAAGATTTCAATAATTTTTATTATATTTTTATTTTTTTCACATCAATATAGCTCTAATAATTCAACAGCTTTTTTATTTTTATTGCTTGAAATGTTTAAAAAAATTGTTACTGATTATATGAATAAACAAAAGAACAAAAGACATATAATGAATCGTTCAAAATATAATTGTTGTATAATACTTTTGCAAAATCCTAAAAGTAACCATGAAAATACAAACTTTAAATATTGAATTACTTATATGTTTAAACTAATTAAAGTTGAAATGATTGAAGAACTTAATATTAAGTCTGAAAATAATAATCATAATATACATTTATAATATAATTTGTAAGGCCCACCAGAATATCAAACATGATAAGCAAGAAAAAACTTGATTAAAAGTAAGTATATAATTTTAAGAAAAAGTGTTTTAAATATATATTATATATATATTTAAAGTTTTATTTATATTAATAGATTTGGCAAAGGTACTGTTTTATACCTCAAACTATTATAAAAAATACTGTGAAGCAGTATAATATATATATTACACAATATGCAACAAAACAAATATCTGCTATGAAACCTATAATTGCAGAGAAATTTCTTGTGTATATTTAGATAATATCTATATTTATACATATAATTTATTATAAATATTGTCTATTATAAATTAATAATAAATTAATTATAACATAAATTAAAAATTTTTAAGATTGATACAATAAGTATGATAGCAATACCAGATAATGAGTTCAAATATATTATATATATCTGTAATCATTTTATGAGATTTTCTGCTGCAGAACCTGCAATTTCTAAATCTGCAGAAGAAGCTTCTAGCTTTCTTTTATGATTTTGTTTAATGTATAAACCACCATTAGTTTTATATTCAGATAATGGTAGTGAATTTGTAGGTGATATAATAAAAAAAACTGTAAAACTTTGGTCATTAGTTAAATTTATATATAGAAAGCTACGGTATTCTCAATGCCAAAGTTCAGTTGAGAAAGTGAATGATATTCTTCAGACAAAACTAGAATCTTGGATAGACGAACAGATTGGAGTATTAGATTATCATTTATAATTTGTAAGTTTTGTTTTAAAAAAAAATAATAATAAATTATTAAAATAAAATTTTAATATTATAGAGGCAATGAATAATCAAATATATAATATGACAAAATCAACACCATATAAACTTGTATTTAGCAAACAACTACAAGCAGATTTACAAATAATTTCAATGCTTCATCAGCAAAATATTTTTCATGAAGAAGATATTCCATTAGAAAATCAATCTTCATTAATTAATAACTATGATAAAAAGTTAAATAGATTAGTTGTAAACTAATAAATTTTTTGTTCAATTAACTACTTATATATTTTTTTTAATTTATTTATAGAGAATAATGATAATAATAATAAAATAATTTTAATCGAAGATAGTGATAACAATAATGATAATGATCTCAAATCTAATGATAACAAAATAAATATATCATGAGATTATAGTATAATTGAAGAATCTACTAATTGCAATATTGAACTGCAAAGCTATTCTTGGAATAAAAAAGAAAAATAACATATATCAAATTTTAATTTAAATAATAATAATGACAATAATGATTATAACTATATTAAAAATGATAATGTAAATATATTAATTATAATTTAATAATTATTATATCATTATTAATAATAAAACATTTAATTTTTATTTATTATATATATAGAATTCATTATATTACTACAATTTTATAGACTTAGAAAATACATGTAATAACTCTGATATCTTATTAGATGAAACATTTCAAGACTATAAATCACATGACAATTTATTTCAAGCTGATACAATTTCTGAAAGTTTAATTCAAGAAAGTACTAATTTATTATTTGAAGAATCTTCACAAGCAAGTTGTTTATATACTTTAATTAAAGATTTGGATTCAATCTCATTCAAGCTATTCAAGCTTTGATAATTATAAGCAATTATAGAATAAAGCACTACAACAAGTTAAAAAAAATAGACAAATTATTCGTAGTATTATAGAAAGTGGTATAAAACTAAACAGTCTTTAACTTTAATTCTGATTAATTTTATAATTATTACTCTTATTATTATTGTAAACAATATAAAACTAAATATAGTATAACTTTAAATCTAGATGATCTAGTAAAAATTTGAATTCCAAATATTGACAAGCTCAAATTGGATAAGCATTTATTGCCTTGTAAAATCATTCAAAAAAACCTAACAGTGATATCTATCAGGTTGGATATAAGTTTGAAATTCTGGATACATGATATTCAGCAAATAAATTAGAGCTATTAGGCACTAATAAATACTTAACACTTGATATTATTCTACTTGGCATATTTGTTTCTTTAAGGAATACTGCAGCTTAACAAAACTTAACATATCCAATACAAAAAACACAGAGAAATAGTGATAATTTATTTATTCAAGGCCAAACAATCACATAAACAAAACAAAGCTCCTCTCAAAAAAATAATTAACATTGCAGCAAAACAAATTGTACAACTAAAAATTGTTTATATCACAAAAATAATGTATTTTGCACAAGATATTGTGATTGTGTATTGAGAGGTGATATTAATTGTATGATCGGTATAAAGCATTTATTCATTATTAATTTGCTGAAATAGATGAACATATAATATTGAACATTATTGTCTTTATGAAACCAGAGTTAGTGTACATAAAGCATTTATTTATAAATACAATCTTAATTCTAATAGAATAAGCCAATAAACTATATATGGTTTCTATGCATTTATATTAAAGGCCTTAATTGAAGGTAGTTATTAATATACAAATATAGTGAGTACAATATTGCAATAAAAAAATACATAATATTTTTAATTGGTAATTCACTAGTCAGCTAGTGAGAGGTCATAATATAACGTGATACAGTTTACTTATAGAAATTAGGGTTTTGCAAATGTGGGCTACATCATTTTAAAACTTTTTTTGTGCTAAATTAACTATCTTTAGGCTTCTAATTGAAGTTGTAGAGCTTGTTGAGAGGAATCTAATGGTGGTTGAATCATCAAAATCGGCTTTGTGGATCACAAGATATCTTCAAAATTTGTTTTATCAACTATAAAATTCTCTCTTTTGACAATAGTACAGTCTGCTGATTTACCAAATATAGATAACATAGATCACACCTATTATAGTAATAATTTACTAACCCGAATATTCCAGAAACGATATAGAAATATTCACTTTTTTTTTAACATATTGCAATAACTCTTGAACAAACCGCATATTTTTTTCTAATTTAAAAAGCAGTAATACTATAACATATATTCAAGAACCTGCTAATACAGTAATGGGTACAAAAGTAAAAACCTGTAACTGATCATAGTAAATTATTATGCATTTATGGGTTTTTACTCTCACGTACTCTAATAAGAGATTTTAAATTCTAATGCTACAATAAATTACGGGAATAAAAAAAATTCAGATCCGCATAATTCTAATTTTAGTTGCAGAGTTCGTGACCTAGAAGACCCAAATTTGAGTTTAGAATGGGTTGGAACACTACAACAGGTTAATAACAGCTTCAAAGTTTCATTTTTTTAGCTTTTTTATTTTTTTGCTAATTCTCGATTCT